CCGACCCGGCGGAACTTTGTTTCCGCTTAATGGCTAATAAATAAGCAGTTTTTTTTAATCGAAAAATACAAAAAAATAAATACTACATAATCATTCATAATTATTTCTGGTTTTTAGTACATAGTTGCTTTCATTTATACTTTGTGATACACGAACATTTTTTGTTTTATAATCAGCGCAAAAACAAACAACGCAGTATGGTTTCCGACCGTGAACATGCACGTTAATTGGACCATGGGAAAAACATAATGTTCTAGATTTAAACAAAAGTTTAAGGATTGGGCCTTGTGATTTTTGTTGATGGTCATGGCAATGCAAGACGTATCGGAAATTGAAAGTTCTTTTTTTTAATTTCCCCAAAACCCGAACATAAAATTCCTTTGTTGGGATCATCGGTATCTCGGAATGAGAACTTCCTCCCTTTTGAATTTTCCTATCATTATCGTAGCGGTAATTACACTTGTTATCAATTTTCTAACCAGCCAACCGCGTACCGTTGCACAGGTTTTGGTTGGTTTATATTTGAAGCATGATTAACTCGGAGCAACTTTAGGCGTAATTGTGCAGTGTAAGAACAGGCACGTTCCAGAGTTTTTAAAATTCATTGGACTGTCGTGGCATTCATTTCATTTTGTTGAGCAGTCAAGATAGATTTGAATGAATGCATTGTTCAATGATCTTATTTTAATTTAATGTAGTTTAGGTCATTCTAATCTTTTAATTATTAACCGCTAAAATTGCTCGCGTACTCACTATTCTTATTTTTGTAAGTTAGAAATAATTTCGGAAATACATTCGTTTGATAAGTTCGTCTTTGATAAGACAAAATTTACAGAAATTATTTGGAAATGATACTCAATCCGCTCGATTCATCGACAGGTACTTGACATTACCGATAGTCAGGCAATTTGCTCTGGAAATCTTCAGGAGCAATGTATCATTAAGGCAAATGTACTTCATCATGTTTGTTGTCAGTTGCAGTTTCTTACATAGCGCATAGATTTGACGATTTGAGGGCAAGCGTTTATTTTTTGTGGCAGCCGTAGATCTTGGAATTACATGGCAGTATTTGGCGGAAATCGCCAGACAGTAAAATCATTGCTCGCTTCCAAAACATCTCGATCATTGCCGTAAATCTTTTATGTTTTGGTTAAGTGCTTTCTAATGCACGTTATGCGGTTTTTTTTATATATCTTATTTATTTTTTTATATTTTTTTACAAATATAAATTGTCAATCCATACGTCATTACATATGTCATTAATACGTCCAATTATATAGCTGTCATTTGCGTTTTTGTTATCAAGTCTGATTCTTTTTTGTTATACGCACGTTTATAGTGACTGACGTTCAATGTCAGTCACCGGGAATGCTGTCAAACGGGATAAAAAGTATACTATGTCCTTCTCCTGGTTCTAACTACTCCACTGCCAATTTTCAGCTAAATCGGTTCAGCCGTTTTTGAGTTATAAGTGAGTAACATACACGACTTTCTTTTATATATATACTAGATTCGGCATAATTACATTTTACTCTGTCGGTGCTTTAGATAGATTTATTATTCTCTATTTTTACTTTATCGACTTTCTCAAAAAAGAGAAAGAAAGTTTGAATCAAGTGCACATTAATGATCTTTCGTTTCATTTCGTGTGGCAATATGCCTAATCCTCTATAATGAGAAACACAAGAACCATTTATGATAAACTGGTAGTGATTGGAGCTTGTCATATCAAAAGTCACAAAACCACACGGAAGTATCAGGAAACAACCATTTTAAATATTATTTGGCATTTCGGCATATGTTATATTATCGGCTTGTTAATTGTCATTTGTGATTTAATTTGAAATGATGGCAGCCTTGAAAAACTTGATCTCCTCTCCCGGCAAGTTTGGTCTTGGGCACTTACGTATGGCTATATTGTAGTCAGCCCGAATGAAGAGTAACATCTTGAAGCTGCAGAATCAATTTCAAGGATTGCAACACAAAATCTGGGTTCTTTAAATTACATTACATAGTTAAATTTTTAGTTCTGAGCAATCCTGTGTTTTGTCTAGTTTAAGTCGTCGAAGAGCTGCAAAAGTACATTTTGCTTTTGCACTTACCGAAAAGTTGAGATTTTGGTGAAAATAATATTTTATTTAATTTCTAATAAAGCTAGTAAAATATTGTTAAGAATTTGAAGCTAAACGAAACATGTCTCAAACAGCCGGAAGCGGTTTCTCGTTAACAATCCTAAATAAGACATTTGAACTCCGCGTCTTCAAAAGGCTCATAGAAACTTAAAAGGATTTTGTTTCCATCTACCGGCATTGCACCGCCTAAAGTCTTCAGTATCGACATACAGACGCGCCAGTTCTAACGAAACCGTGAAGTGCGGCACTTTTGAATGCATAGAGGCGGCACTATCTGGTGTTATAAAATGGCCCAGACTCGTCACTGATAAGTTACTTTCCTATTTTCTTAGTCGGGGTGAGCTTTTTCAGCTTTCACAGAGCTGCCCCAGTTGCCAAATAACCCGACAAAAGATCTACAAGGCCTCTCGCGCTCATATTTGGAGTCCTTTCCATAGAACAGCTATCGGGCTCCCCAATCATGTATACACCTATCCGAGAGATTGCGCCATTAAATATTTCCCATGTGTACTGGTTTCCTTGGGTTTGTTTATTTACTTTAAAATATATAATTTAAAATAACTCTCTAGTATTAAATAATTTTCAAATAATACATTTTGGGAATATAAAGAAGATAATGTTTTGTACGTATTTATTTAATATAAGTGATTAGTGAAAGAAGTAAAGTTAAGGAGTTGGCATAACACATAATAAAAACTCTTGACATTCGTTCACTGTCTCCTCAGGTATGTGCTGGTGAGATATTCTTAAATTATATGAAGATAAATATGAACCT